TGCAGATGCAAGTCGAAACTGCTTCCACGATAAGTATAATCTTGAGAGATTATTTTAGATTGTGATGTATGAGTGGCCGTGAATCGTAAAAGTTCGCAATATGAAATGAGTTGTGATACTAGTGATATAGAACCACAAACTCCAAAAGCAAGAGATTACTCAAAAAGAGTTGAGCACTTTGGACATGCAACCCGTTGTAATGTCACCGTATGCGGAGTTGATCTCTTGTCCGTAATTTTGATCATTGGTGGAGTCTGCTCATCCTGATCATGTGCGAACTCCCCTTTGAATTCTTTAGAGTATATCTTCTGTTTCGACTTCCCATTCTTGCTCTTCTTATCTTTGGGTTTTGTTCCATTGGTTGCCGTCTCATTTTGAGGGTACTCCTCGTGATATCGCTTGATGAGGGCGTCTTCTACCAAACACTCCGCATGATATAGAGTTTGGCAATCTCCGTTATCACAAATATGCTCATACTCGCGTTTATCGGGATTGTAGTGACCATTGCAAATACAATAGACGGGCAAATCCTGGAGGAAAAGCATTAGTTTCAATGTGTCTGATGTACAGACATAAAACTCACCGAAAGTCTCTGGGTGCCTTGACAGAACGTCTGACGCCAGTAAAACTTGCTAGGATCCGGATCAGATACTGCATAATCATCAAGGTCCTCAGAAAAACGTTCAACGTCTATCTTTCCTGCAAAGGTCAATACGTCTACAACATCCAGATAGTTGCTCGCAATGAGCTCCGAATTGCCGTGGTATTTCCTCCGCCCTGAACTTGCGGATGTCTCGCTAGCAGCTTTGGCTGTTGCTGGTAATTCTTCCGGCCAATACATCCAGGCAACCTAACACCAATCAGTCCAAGGTCTTTTCCCAAAGATAATAGCATTTACCAAGGCGTAGACATGCTGCGGATCTTTAGCTCTAACCTGTAATATCCTTGCTATCCAGAAGTCCCTTGGTTGTGTGCCTGCTTCTGTCTTGCCCTTCACATAAACGAATTGATTGTTTTTATAAGTATCGCCTTGGACTGATTTGAATTAGAGAAAATTCGGTAGCTAATAGTTGCATTGCACTTACTTATGAAGTTGTTATATTTCCTCATGGCCGTCCACTCCGTGTTTGGCGTAACAGTATAATGGTAATTGAGTTCGTCCTCCGGCGCATTGAAGCCTTGAAATGGTGATATATGCTCCTCTGCCAGTGCTCTTAGTTCCGCATTTTGTTTTGATTCCTTTCCCTTTCTGTCCGAATCCATAACCGGAACCTTAATCTCGAAGGATATCGCTTCTTGAACTGCGGCAGGAGAGGACATAGAGCCTGGCTCTGAAGACTCTGTCTTCATTCGTTTACTCGAAGACGAACTCGAGCCATTCAAGCCATGTTTTGGCGCCATGATAAACAGCGGGATAGAGCTGCGAGAAATGAATTTACGAGTATCGAGTATTGTGGAAAATCGCGTGCGCGGGGACGTGAAGTTGATGTGTAAATTGATTGCGAAGCAGATTCGAATTTTGTAAGTTTTGAGGCAGAGGTAGACTGACAAATGTTATGATATTTATCCAAAGTAAATGTAAATCCAAATGTAAATGATTGACCGAAGAGGCTTTTTGGATTTTTGATGTAGGTAGGTAATTGTAGAGGATACCAAAGCTTTCAAGATATAAAATAGCTACCTTTCGAGGTACTTCAGAATGATTGAAGATTATACGCGATCAAGATCTTGCTCCCCCTTTGGGAAGATAAAGTCAAGGTAAAAGATACACCGCGCAGTATTTGGGATTTAAGTAAATAATTGTCAATTATTGCGACAATTCTATGTAATGGTTGCGATTTTGGTTGTGGTTGAAGAGCTTCAAAGTTTAATCAAAACAGTTGACAAAGTGCAAAGTGTAAATAAAGTGTCGCACAACAGCTAAAAACGCTCTGATCAGCCTATTTATTTCATTGGCCAGCCAAAGTTCACGTCAGACTTTACAGATCCTATTGACCCATTTTTGCTAGATTTACTTTTTTGGTAGGTCGATCAATAATTCCGAGCGGAATCAGTGTAAATAGAGCAATGACACTCGTAGCTTTTACAACATTGCACATCTGTGCCTCGAGGTCCCTTGTGTGTCAATATCGTAGCAGAGCTATCAAATCCATATTCACGTATCATCAGAAGCTTTTCCCACAAAGCTCAACTACCTAGTATATATTATATATTACATTTTATATGTTTTATATATTATATATATATATATACATACTATGCATGATATTGTCAACATCAGGTACCTACCTAGGTAGTCGAGTCACATGTTGACGGGGCGAACGATTCATCAGTTTGCTGCTTCATGGTCCCTAGGTGTATATTGCAAACCAAAGTATATCATTGGAATCCTTTCTCTCTTAAACAAACAACAAATGTCAAAAGACAAGCAAATCCAAAAAAAAACTTAGTCCAATCCCACAAGTCAATCATTACTCGGGTATCATTTTATCCTACCAGAAGAATGTCAAAACTCCTCTCCCCAACTTCGAAAATTATTAATGAAGTCCCCTCAAATCTAACCAGCGAAGAAGCTTGCAAATCTCAGGTCAAGCTGGGCCAAGACCCATTCTACCAATCTCAGAGAACATCCTCCTCTTCAGCCACTCATTTCTCACTAGCATGCGCCTTCTTCTTGAACAACTTATTCTTCAACTTATCCGCCAATCCAACCGGATGTTGTGCACCCGGCTTGGTCGTATTAACCACATTGCCCTCTCCACCTCGTCCAAAATGCACAACCTCGCCATCGGTGCTGGGTCTCAAGGCAGCATCTGGGATACTATCCATATCGCTCCGTTTGGTAGCTGGGAGACCAGGTGAACCGATATTTGCAGCTCCGCCGCGACCAACGCTGAATGCTCCATCGCCGTGGTCTCCTGCTGGTCCTTGACGGACAATTTCGCCATCAACATATCTATTGCGCCCATTAGTTTACTTGTCGAAAAATTGCGCCCTATATTGTATTGCGAGCGCTCAAATATCCGCGATGGAAGGAAGGTGTTGCATACTGAGTGGAATCGGCTCCAATGTTTCCAGCGCCTGCTATGACGTTAGAATTTCCCTCCACTGAAGACATTCAAGAAATACACACCTCCGCGACCGTGACTAACTTCAGGCTCGGCCATTGTGATAAGATTTAAATTTGTTCTCGCGGTTATGCCCCTTTGAGTATGAGAGTCTGCGCTCGATAAATAAGTAAGTATTGTACTATGCGATCAAAGAAATGGGAATCCCGAGCAATATAAATATTGCGCAAAGGGATCCTTGGTCCCGTCTCAGCCCACTTCACACCCCGCAATCGGTCATATCACCAACCTCACCACGCCATTAATGAAAGTTCATTCGTTCTCTCTCACGACTTGGAGGAGAGATTTATTAGCATCAGGTTAAAACTAACATCACTTACTTTGAAAATATAGCAAGCGAATGCAGTAATGTTTGCGCCAGAAAGTTTGAAGATGTGAACAAGAACAAGTCGAGTGAAAAACGAAACTTCATTCATTCTTCATTCAATAAACCGGAAATCATCAAGGCTATCTACACGTGCTTTAATTAGGCTCCTATTTAGGTCTTCTCCGTTTCCGTTCCTTGATTAGCTTTCTTTCCTTTCATCAATCAAACATGGATAAAAAAAATGTATGAACGGAGTATCTAAACCTAACATCCTATGATGTAATCTATTTTTGATTTCTCTCCTGCAGCATCGACAAGATCGAGTTAAGTTCTTACCTACCAAAGTGCAGGAACCATTGTCTTGCCCATGGATCATCACATATGCAATACCTACCCTTACACGCGTTGACGGAGCACAAGCTCAAATGTATGAACAAATATCCAACAGTTGGTTACTTGTATTCGAGCTTACTACCTAGCAATCAATCATAGCTCCACTCTTCCCCGATCCTTATCTCCAACCATGATGTGATAATGTCAAAGATAAGCCCAATCCCACTAATAAGTACTCGCCTATTCAGGAGTCGTCCATCCCTCATTCAGAAGAGAAACAGTCGATTGCATGTGCAGTGAGCCAATGAGATAGAGAAATAGGAGAACAAAGATGCGAGGGAGCGTTTTGTTGCATGTCGGAGTGTGAGGTGTTATGTTATTGTATTTCATTGTTTTTGAGAAGGGCGGAGGGCTTATCTCTAGACTGTCTGCATGAGAGAACTGGTACGTGAGGGGATTTATCATTGGTGTGTGTGTGTGTATATGTACGTGTGCAGGTGGGATGTAAGTAGAGCAGGTAGGTATTTTGATTGAGTCAAGTAGGTATTCTGGATGAAATGATAGGTATCTCGTTTTTACAAATAGCGGAGGATATCTCGAGCATATGGAGAAAATCTGGGGATCTATCTCTATGGTTGATATGAGTGGAAGTTTAGTAGTTATATACCAATCACAGTTCGAGCTTGTACCTCGCTCTAGTAGGTAATTGAAAGCCGTGCGAAAAATGAACCATGGCGGGTTCGAATGAGTACTTTGTTAACTAATCGGCCAGTGCACGCAAGAATACAGTGAAAGAATCATAATGACTTCTTGGAACAGTGGAAAGATACCTATTTATTTGCACATCGCACTCCAAGACGCTATTGTTCCATGATCTGATATGCTTTTGTAAGACTCTACTATTGAAAGCATTGAGAATGATGAGATATGCAACAAAAGTGTGGATTTACATGCCATTTTGCATTGCATATATCTTACATGATCTTGTATGAACAGAATCATATTATTTACCAGATATTCAGCAAAAGCTTCCTCGATGTCAGATTATTGATATCTTTTAGAATTTCAAGTGTCTCTAAATGAATGCAAGATAGAGAGACTGGGAGCATATATGCATCTTTGGTGTCATTTTGAACCATCATACAGTAAAATCTCATTATTTGTTCATGTCCGGTCTCGAAAAGTTTATGTAAAAAGAATTGCTCTATCTCTTCATTAGAAATATATGATGCCTATTTTACTCTGATAGCCAGACTGAATGTTGACTTCCCAGGATGCTCCAAACCCTTCATCATGTTAACATCAGCATCGTCACCAGCCATCTCCTCTGCATCGTTCATAGCATCAGCCTCAATAGACTCATCCCCCGCACCACGCGCAGCGCCCGACCCCGCCATGTTTCTATCTGCTGCAGTCAACAACCCCTATTCGTTTATATGATCAGCGCATCCATCTCACAGGCCTCAATGAGTAATGTCATAGATAAAACTTACCATCTCTCTGTCATTCTGGGATTCTGTCAGGAGTCTCTTCTCTGCTTTCTTGGCTGCTCGCTTCTGCGCTCCTTTATTATTCTCTCTCCTCTTTCCTGCCTCTTCCGGATGTTCTGCGTCCCATCTAAGTTTTGCCTCGGCTAATTCCCTCCGTGCCGCCCTCTGCGCATCTCTTACTATCTTAATTTCCCTCCGCGTCTGGATCTCTTTTAATTTCTCAATCTTCTTCTCCTTCTTCTCCTTATTACGAGCTTGGCCTTCGGCAGCTTGTCTCCTACCCTTCTCCGTCTGGGTCCACTTGATCACTCTACGCTTTTTCTCATCCTCTGCTCCTGGCCCAGTTAGATGTTTCAAACTCTCCAACAGCTCCTCGCGCTGTGTATGATGTTAGTTTGGAGTTTTGATTGTATTTTCATGAGCTATAATGAATTAGAAGATAGCACTTACGGTCATGTTTTTGCTGAACCGCACGTTCGAGTACCTAGCTTCCCAGACATTTTCACTACCTTCTTCTCCAACTCCCTCCGCGGCTTGATTTTCTTCTTCAGCTCCTAACATGATCGAGTCTTCTTCTTTGACTTCCATCGTCATGGTAGCTACAATTATGGTATGGGAAGCGCGGTGATGCTGTGATGGAGTTGAGATTGAGGGTGGTAGGGAGAAACTGTTTATTTGTCGGAAAGAGGAGAAGAAATTATTTGGCTCGAAAAGTCAACTATATAGATGTGAAATTTCTCCAAAATTCACTCTTTATCTATCCAACAAGGTAGATATTGCGCAATATTCAATAGGCTACCAGCCTAACTGCTGTGACTGACGCCGAACGAATGTAAGCACCATCGGACAATAGTCCAAGCCTGAATCTTGAAAATGAGATCGACATCTTCGAATTGTAGGTAGTCGTTTGCATTTCCGAAGAAAAACAGTTCGTAGCAATGGTCACTATTGTACCTAGCAATCTCGACCTCCCTTCTCATTAATACTTGGAATGTACCAAAATAGTGAATATATTTCAAAAAAAAATGCCCCCTACTTGCGGTAGGTAGTTTCTCAATCTTCAGCTTTAGAAGATAGGGGGAGATTTCCACTGACATGTTGTCCTGTTCAATAGATCACTTCCCACACAGTGAGCCAAAGTTAAGAATTGCTTGCCAGTAGAACAGTGATACTACGCCAACATGTCAACATTTATGGAGGGCGTTGTAGATTCCATATCATGCCACAGAAGACTCTTGAGGTATGTCGGAGAACTATCTCAGAACATTCCATATTTTATGTCATGATGTGCTATTGTATGCGAGAGAACTTTCTCGGTGAATGTCTTGGATTCGAATAGCAAAATAGCACCTTGTATGCTGAAGAAGGAACATGTGAGAAATGTCTGTATGTAGGTAGAGTCTACTATACTATTCTTGCTCTTGAATAGTATTGTATATATGAGTAAGAAAGCATGAAGCATGGGTATAGCTCGGCCAGCATTATTTCATGTATAATATGATGTATATCAAATCAAAGACCTTTCACTGATTGTTTGTGTTTGTGATTAAAGTCCAAGTTTGATAGCATACCAATTTTTGAGTTAGTTCCACTCGTAGCTACCTCTTAAGTCCGTCGGAGAAAACAGGTACAAGCTCCCTTTCAAACCCACACTATTTTCAAAGACGTTAGAGCCCATTCTAGATCAGGCTCCCAGGCTTAAACAAATTTATTTTGCACCCCGCAGAATTGGTTACCTTTAATCAGTATCTTGAGCTTCTTTTCAAACTGCAAGTCCTTTCACTTGCGCTCGCCTTAAAAGCTTCATCAAGCAACGAAAGACTCCCCAGATGCTACATGACCAGTTTGAGGTCATTGTTGAATCTTGGGGACGTCAGTCGTGAATTCAAGCTCAAGTAGAAAAGCTTGTTGCGACTGGATGAATATTACGAACATGGCACCAGCAAACGGCGCGTCAAAAGTCATGCAGAATCGCCCAAGGCCTGCAGTTGCGGTTCCGAGAGGCATTGTTCCTGCTCTGCCTCTTTCCTATGGTAAGCTACAGCAAAAGAAACTACCTACTCGAGAAAAGGCGAAGGAAGTCGCACCCCCATCCTCGACGGCCCCAGCAGTCCAAGTACCCATTACATCGATTTCAACTATTGATACACCTTCCGCGCAAATCAATGAGCCTCCTCCCAAAGACAAAGCTTTAGAGGCGACGAACGAATCTCCCAAGCCTGCTCCCGCAGCAGTTGCCAATACACCGTCTACTTCTGAGTCACTGGATGGATTTAGCTCTACTGAGTGCGGTGTTACGATTGGTTCTGGCTCTACTGGCCGTGGTTCTACTGAGCGAAGTTCTACTGAACGAGAAGGCGAGGAAAATTTGGTCAATGTGAATGAAGCAAAAGGTGAGATTTAAGAATTCACTTTCAGCCTCGCCACTCTGCCAATCCAAAATATTGTCCTTGTCGCTAAATCTTTTCTTTTCTGCAGCAGACAATCCTCAAGAGGAAAAACAATCTGCTCCATCCGAAACCCAATCCACCACATCGAGATCAACATATCAATTGCCTCCACCCTTTGTGCCAGCCAGCAATCAATCCACAATGTCCTCCGAATCTGCACAATTTCCGCAGCAGCAGGTTGCGTTCAATGGTCAACATCCAATGCACCACGCTCATCCCAGCGTTTCAAACCCGATCTTCGGCGGATATCCCGATTCCAATAATTCGTCACCAGCTCCCCCTTCGAGCGCTGGCAATATTCCACCTTACGCTTACGCACAGCAAGGTGGTGCGCGCCATGGTCCTCATCTCTCAAACGGTGGCCATCAACACCACATGTCGAATGGGTTTTCACCGATGACTCCAGCATTCCCTCCAGGATATTACCACCCCCAAGACGGCTTTCAGGTCCCTCCACCTGATGATTTCCTTCGCAAACAAATGCAACCATTTGTCCCACAAGAAGGTTACTCCCCAACTGGTGCTCCTCAAATTGTTGAGAGTCCTCGGTTCAACGGCTTTGATCCAGCCGCTAAGCACAACGTTCATGGATTTCGAACATCAATACAGGACCAGGAGAACGGTTTGGGCCCCCATTATGGACATCATCCATCTCCACTTCCACCAATGGGACCACCACCTTATCGTGGCGTCGTCGGCTACCCGCGCAAAGAAGAAATTCCATGGGCAGGCGGCAACCGCCGAGATCTTTGGTTTCACCTCCGTGAGCAATTCGCACAACCAGAATTTTCTGATTGCGTTCTTGAGCTACGCTACTCAGATGACCGAGCAGCTCCTCTTCGAATTAGTGGTCACAGATTGATATTGGCTCGCAGTTTCGTTTTGAAAGGTCTCATTACATCTGGAGCTAGCGCAAATCGTGAATCACCTCTACCTATCCAGAACATCTTGATTGAGTCAGATGATCGTTACTTGCGATCCGATGCATTTTCATTGGCGGTTCGATATCTATATGGTGGACCTATATTGGACTTAGATGCAATGGCCCGCTTTCCGGCTCCATACATTGGATCAGCTCCCATGCCATTAACCCCAGCTGAACGTTTCGACTTCACGCTTGGCTATATAGCGTCGGGAGTTGTTCTTCAAATTCCTCAAATTTGGAAGACTGGTTGCACCATCGCGAGTCAACTCATCACCTGGGACACAGTCGAAAAAGCTCTTGAATTTGCTCTTGAAGGAGGTATTGATGGATCGTGGAACTCGGGAAATCCAGATGTCAACGATATAGTCGGCAGAAGTACCTATACTCCATGCGCCAACGTCATCATTTCCAATATAATCAACTTCATCATCCTGTCCTTCCCTCCTAACTTTGAATTGGATACGACGGTTTCAGACGTTCATTTCAATTCTAGAATCCCGCATGTACCTGATCACCGACCCACAAACTCACGATTGAGCTCTATTAAGTTCGGCGACCACCCTACAGAAGAGAGCCTTCGCTCCCCTTCCTCGGATTCTATTACTCTTACGCTGTCAAGGTTATTACTCAACTTGCCTTTCGGTCTCTTGAAGCACGTATTGGAAACTGGAAATATGGGTGTTATTCACGGCCATGCAACCCATTTACTTCGACGAAAAATCATGTATCCTGTCATTGAGGAGCGTGAAAAGAGAAGACAGAGAGCCCTCGCTAGTAAAACATCTGATGAGGAGCGAATCAAGAATGGACGTCAATGGAATGCCGTCGGCTGGAAAGAGGCGGTCCTTCCGTTTGATGACAATCGCAACGAAGAAGTTCCATGCTTGAGAAAGACTTGGGTCGGTTTTACAAATACTGAAAGCAAGTAACCTTGGTTCACTGAAGAACTTCCAAAATGGGCTTTTTGTATTTGATCATTAAAAAGGTGCTTTGGCGTTGGATTGGTTCAGCGGTTTCGAGGGCAAATGAGATATGTCTTTGCATAAAAAATGGGCGGGCGGGGCTTGTGGTCATTTCTTCTGGCCTACCTATTTTCTTGAGACTTGAGACATTTGCTTGTCTTGCTTTCGGTTGCTAGGTGAGAATAATCAATTTTACGAAAACGTTTTACGGTAGTAATGAGATATGTATGGCATGAATCATTAAACTTCAAAATAGTTGATGAATTAAAAAAGAACTTTATACCTCTAAACTCTTTAAATGTGCTGCCATTTGATTCTGAGAGTATGTGCACGCTGTCATGAAATCCATGGATTAGGCACCGCGATTGAGAGCCATTTGAGGAAGCAAGTTGTCAAGTATGTGAACGCATAACGCCTGTTCATGATATGTCAATCACCATGTTTGACTACCCTTTGAGTACACCAGATATGATGCGCATTGTTGAACTGATAATCAACATAATGAGTAGATATGATTAAAATGATACATTTTGTAGACCACATAACAAAGCGGACTGATATTTACCGTCGCCATAATAATAGGTATCTCGTCTATATCGAGGGATGTTCAATGGTTATGATGATGAATTTCCTTTCTCATAATGAAGTTTGACGAAGGTAGTTATCTAGTATTTCATTGTACTGTATTATTGTTATAGAGGATTCAGGAAGTGAAGGACGATGATCAATAAAAGAGGGCCTAACAAGGATTGATGAGAAAAAGTTTGCATCACGTGCTACACTAATTTTGGAAAATTCGGTTGTGGGATTGTTTGCCCTAAATTTTTCGAACCCAGCAAGTCCAATACTGCGATTCCGACATCTCGAATTTTGAAGACGACGACCAACGACAACTTGATTGCAATCCGACAAAATGGCGATCAAGCACAACCAGCAAATTGCCCACAACCGTATGTCCTCTTTGCAGATCAATGAGGATAATTACAAAGATGCTGATTATGGATAGATTTCCGAAAGGATTGGCAAAGACGAGTTAGAGTTCACTTCGACCAGGTAAACCACGCGCAAACGGAATGCAAAAATCTCTGGAATCGAATCTAACAATATAAATAGCCTGGCCGAAAACTCAGACGCCGCAATGCTCGTCTCGCAAAGACTGCAGCTGTCGCCCCACGCCCAATCGACTTGTTGAGACCTGTTGTCAGATGCCCAACCATCAAGTACAACAGACGTGTACGAGCTGGCCGTGGTTTCACCCTCGCCGAGTTGAAGGTGAGATAGATTGGAAATTTTCAGTTCCGTGGAAATAGTTTTCTGATGTTATTATAGGAGGCACAAATCCCCCGCAAGCTCGCCCCAACCATCGGTATCTCCGTTGATGCCCGCCGTCAAAACCTCTCCGTCGAGTCCCTTAAGGCCAACGTCGACCGTCTCAAGTCCTTCCGTGCCCGCCTTATCCTCTTCCCACGCAAACTTGGTCAACCTAAGAAGGGTGACTCCACCAAGGAGGAAGTCGCTGCTCTCAAGGAGACCAGCAGCCGTGTCAAGAACGCTCTCCCAATCTCCACTGTTGAGGGTGGATTCTCAGAGATCAAGAAGAGCGATATGCCAAAACCAATTGAGGGAGGTGCATACAGAAAGTTGCGCGATGCAAGAAGTGATGCTAGATTGGCCGGAAAGCGTGAGAAGAGAGCAAAGGATGCAGCTGATGAGGCCGCTGCTGCCAAGAAATAAATGGCATGAATGGTTCATGGGTCTGTTTTATATTCTTGCGGGGTGCGATGGATGGATGTGGGCTACAAGAGCGGTTCAAAAAAACTGCATAGGTGTACTCTCATGAATTCAACGGCTATTGCACAAAACTAATGAATTTTTCAATAAGATGTTCTGCATGTGAAGGTGGTGCTTCTGGTCGTGAAAATATGTTTTACTTGGATGTTCGAGTGAACTACCTTTTCTGCAAGCAAAAGCATGTCTCAATGGCACTTTTGAATGCTGTTCTACTGATTATGATTTTAGACTGGCGATTTCGAAACCTCACCGCGGCCGTTCATCGCTCATCAGGAATTGGATACAAGATGCAAGTTTACCAGAGACCAAAAACATGGGGCTCAGAGCGTGTGATTCCCACCCGGATCTTCAAAGCCGTTGGACAATCTTGCATTCATTATTTCCTGCAGCCTTTTTTTCACATGCCGAAGAGCGGGCTATTTGTATATTCACTATCGACTGGGAATTCTAGCAACTCATCTCTGTCCAAAATTCTTTCTGCCGGATGAGAAGTCAAAAGGCTTCACTCTGCGGCCTCGCGATAAGCTCATTTCACTGCCTTTATTCGCCTTTAGCCCACTCTATCATCTCCTCCACCTTACCTTCAACCCCTCAGATGTCGTCCGAGAGAGTGGTCATAATGTGTGGGCCCTTGAATCTCGTAGGGGACTTTGTGTTCGAAAGTCATCGGTCATACTGCTTGTTCAGGTGGATCTCGATATCCTGCGCTTGCAGTGGTAACTTGATCGGAAATAAAGTCCCGAGTTGCTTTGCCTTGAAATTTACAACAAATTTGATTGGTTTGGTCCGATATTCGATAAGCTACCATGTTCAATAAGGGGGCAAGACAGCGAGTTCGAAAAATGAACCGCTGCTGATACGAAAAAGTTAAATCACATATAGGATCACCCGCTAGCCCAAATTGTTCGCCTTCAGGTTTCACGATACAGATCTACTCTTCGACGGTTGTATGGTCCAGGATATCTGACCAATGGTGCCTCACAACTCTCACTGCACAATTCAGGAAACTTCGGCAGTAGAACAGTAACCATAACATCAACGTTAACGTTAACGTCAATCATCCCACCGGCAAACACAATCCTTCGATACCACTCTCAATGCTCACCGCAACGGAGTAGTTCGCATATTTGCAGTGATTCTTAAAGTTCAGATTGTCCAAGAGAGTAATAAGCTCCAACCTGTTTGTGCCGACTGTTATTCGAAAGTTCTATCTGAGAGCCAGTGATGGAGTTTGTGTCCCACTGCTGTGTCGTGGTATGATCTTGAGTGGGAGGAAGCATTTCGATGGTAACTAGCATAGTTGTCCCTTTTCTACAATCTTGAGAAGTAGTTATTGATTATCCGATGAGTAGCAATCATGGACTCTGAAACCAAATAATGAATATCGCTTGCGCGTGATGTTTAGTTTCACTTGCTGCCTTACTGTCAATTTGTTCTTAAAGGGAATTTCATCCCACCGATTCTTGGGTTGCAATGCCGCCGACACGTGCAGAAGCCGAATGAGGCATCATCGACGAGGTGCATTTCGCATACTGATACGAGATTGAAATTGTTATATTGTAATCTCTTGTGTTGTACTCTAGTGCTGTCATTGGTTCCACTCGGCGATCGGAACCGAATGTACCCGATGAATTGCTCGCTGTAGATATGTCTCCATAATGTTGCTAACGGTATTGGTGATTTTTCATATAAAGCTGCTTACTATGTCGTTGAGATGAGCGCTTGGCCTCTTTGCAAATTCCTTTGTGCTATTCTATTTCGTGGTGTCTAAAACGATACACCACCTGTGTTCTCCTGCTATCAGTTGTGTTTATACATAATGTCATGACCATATCGACTGGTAGGTTGTATGGTATATAGTTAGCTTATTCGTATTGGTCAACAGGAATTACATGTCATTTTTTGGGTACATACTACACGATTAGCAAGCGGATATCGGTTCTCAGACTGCTTCGACTTTCAAGAAATGCTTTGAAATATTGTTATGGTGCCACGCACAAGACGTTGAATCGAAGCATATCATGGCAGACATCTCAAACACCAAAATTAGAGGAGCACATCAGCCGGAACGAATCGTTTTATCCACATGGGAAAGAGCCGCTAGACACAAATGCAACTCGATACATTATTCCACAATCATTATTTGAATCGCGTAAATCATTGCCTCCTACCTCCGTTCTATTCAACACGTTCTAATTCTCTCGCTCCTTCCTGTAAACTTGTGTCCTTACCACTGTAAGAATCTTTACTCCTCTTCTGAATTTCTTCCTTGGTCGACGCTCACGATATCTTGTTCTTCTTCCACCTTCCTGTACTTGCATTTGGCCTGGGATCTAGCCACTCTCTCTCTCCCTCTAACTTCACACAACTCGATGCTCGTTTTTCCATTATTGTATGATTAAAGGAAAAAACTTTTCGGATCAAATAATCCTTTTAATCTAAAGGACATGCAGTGGAATTCCCCTTATTCTCGATAAACTTCTCAGAAAACACTGATTTAAAATTTCAACTCGTTTTCATCAAGTATTTATGAAGACCTGACTGGAACTTGAGAATTTGGGCTGAATCATATAACCATATCTCAACGGCATGACAATTGCCAATACTCTCGTCCGTAGGGGAGTTTTGCAAGTAATGACCTTCTGCAAAACATGAAGAATAATATACTGGCAACCAGCAGTGATGTGAATATTTTCGGCGTGCTAAGGTTGATGCACAGGACAGTGGTGAGGGTTGTGGAATAGAGACTAGAGAGATCAGAAGGTGGTGAGATGCAAGTATATGGACACAAAAACTCCATATATGGATTGAGGTGCTATCATCTTCCACAATGCAATTTTTGAGTACCAATACTGTTTTTGGAGGTACGCTCGTTGTTGATATTGAGATTTATACGCTATGAGGTTGAGGAGGATTTTGGAGTACAGTGGGTGGTGAAGTTCAACAAAATCATTGATTGGTAAAATTTTGCATAGCTAGCAATGATCGCCCGTAGTCACGAATGGATGACCTACAATTTGCAAGTCTACCTTGGATAGAGATTACACAGCAACTTTGCCATGTTAGCAGAAGCATCAAGAACACGCTGACCTCGCATGAACACTATCCACACTAGAACAAACCACGATAGATTAAAAAATAAAGAAAGCCATGTAGGCAAAGTGTTTGTAAATAGTCAAACACAGACATGACATTGGTAAAATTCAGCATTAGATACTACCCCTGAATTTTGGTCCACGCTATGCATTCTAAACCCGTACTCTTTGATATCCCAAACTCCATTTTCCCAATCCATCCTCATCATATGCATTTCTTTCTCAAGCAGGTCTCCTCCTCGCAAACTCCTCTAAATCTGTTTTCGTCGCAACTCCCAACACAAATCTTCTCCTCTCATCCGTCACAACGGCAAACTCCTGTTTGCCCCCCTCGCCATTCTCTCCCCCGTTGAAAAATAGCTCCAAATCTTCCAACGGCGTATCCATAGTAATAACCTTGTAAACCTTTCCCTTCCTCCTGAATTTTACCATGGCTTTAGATACCTCATCTGATTCTTGCACTTTTCCCGACTCGAGCAAAATGCGTAGATGGGGGATGGAGAGGTAGCCTAGGAGAGCGCGGGTGTCGGGGGTTACGACGGTGAGATGTGTGTAATCGCGCTCGAAGGCGCTCATGAGAGCATATGAGATGGGATCGGTGGGGTTACAGGAGAGGGCAGATGGAGGGTCGAGATCTTCGACTGTGGCCTAGATGAGTGGTTTGGTTAGCATATTTGTTTATGCCCATTCATAGTCATAGCTGGGTGAGGACACGGTTATAGTATACGTACTCCTCTATAGCGATTTGCCAATTTTGAAAGGCCAGGTTTAGGTGATGAAGACATCTCTGCTGGATTGGAAGTGGCCGTTGTTGTTATTTGATTGGGTATAATGTTGGACATTTGGGTAGATGTTATTTTATGATGTATACTTAAGATCAACAAAGTAACAAATAATTTTATGGTGGGGAGGAAATGGTGGGGTAGATTGTAATTAGGCGGGGCGGGTCCGGATTTGACGTGGTAGGGAAGCAAGTTTCTACAGCGTGTGTGTGTTCCTGTGCCTGAGACTTCAGATTAGATCGGGACATTCTAGAAGCTTTTTCCTCGTTTGCGAATAACTTCAACTCCGGAGCATACCTAGGTACTTGTGTATCATTATCACGTGTTTTGAAGGACATGTTGCAAGGCACTGACTGAATCTCTGACTTACCGATCAAGGTTATTACTCATCAGTGGGGAGCACCTCGGATATCATGTAGCATTCTACATCGTACAAAGCAATTGAGCTTCCACCATCTATCTCTTTGTACCTGAGAATCATTTGATAGGATCCAATCCATCATCACACAGAAGTTTTTGTGTCATTCATAATCAACGCGGGCAACAATTCTTACATCGTATTTCAAGCAATGTTCCCTCCCGTTCCCATCCGATGAATTGATCGGTGCCAACCTCGCACGAGGGATGAGATATCATCTAGACTTTGTACCGTATACAGTCACATATCATTGGTCGTTGAAGTTATTGCTTCAGCGTCAAAACTGGGTCAAGCTGTCTCATCCACCCGGGTTATCCATTCACTCCAACTTCCCTCAAATTATTTAACAAATAAGCATCGCATCGCATCTCATCGAATTTCTTTTCATTCCTCACTCACAAGCAACCACTCCTCTCATTCATTCTTCAAAATGCCTTCAATTTTTCCCTCTCAAAATACTCTTCACGATGCATTTCATTCTCCAAATCCCTACGGTCGCCGAACCGAACCGTCAATTCAATCACGTACCACTCCCGTATCAAAGCGCCGCACCCCACTTCAAGCTCGTCCAGAGCTCTACACAGCTTGGTCGGTCGTCGACGATGCGAAAAATAAAGCCAATGCATTGAGTGCAGAAGCTACAAAGGAGTTTGACAAAGCTAGTGCGGCTGCTCAAGCTAAGACTGGTAGAATCGAGTTGTATTCGCCAAAGTTTTATGCAGCGTGTACTTTTGGTGGATTACTTGCCTGTGTGAGTTATCTCTATCTACCTACAATCTATCCTATGATCTCAAGGAGTTTGGGTTGCAAGGGACTATCTATCAGTTCCAAACTTTCACAATGACGCCTATTCCGAAGTATCAGAATTTATGCAGAAAGGTTTACCCTTCAATTGACATAAAGCTACCTCGCTTTCTCTAATGGAATATTTCCATTACTACTACACAAGGATGCCAGTTGCGAGTCTTTGCAATCAATTAATTAGTGAGACTTTGCCTTATTGATTATTTTTACTACTACGCGAAACTGTTCGAATCTATCAAAGCTCTTCAAGTCGACTAGCAGAACTCTACCTTGTGCCATCACTACATCAGGACTTCGCCTCAACTAAAGGGGTTTCGTCGCTGACAGAACTATTGTTTGAACGCCTAATTGTCTTCTCCATCGAAAGCTCGATATTAGGCCTTGCAAAAGCTCTCTTTTCTTTCATCACTTAACTGACTCATGACTAAAATACACAAACTCTCAACTAACATCCCGCAGGGTCTCACCCATACAACAGTCACTCCCCTCGATCTAGTAAAATGTCGTCGTCAAGTCGACTCCAAGATGTACACGGGCAACTTCCAAGCCTGGGGTAAAATCTTCCGCGCCGAAGGTTTCCGTGGCATCATGACAGGATGGGGTCCAACATTTTTCGGTTACTCCGCTCAAGGAGCCTTCAAATACGGCGGTTATGAATACTTCAAGAAATTCTACGCCGACCTCGCTGGCCCTGAGAATGCATACAAGTACAAAACATGGCTTTACTTATCCGCTAGCGCATCCGCAGAGTTTATTGCGGACGTGGCTCTTTGTCCTTTCGAGGCCGTGAAGGTTAGGATGCAAACTACCGTTCCACCGTTTGCAAAAGGTACTTCAGATGGTCTTTCAAAGATCATATCGAAGGAAGGCTATGCCGGATTATACAAGGGGCTGTATCCTCTCTGGGGACGACAAATCCCGTATACCATGATGAAATTCGCATCTTTTGAGACAATTGTAGAAATGATTTACGATCGTCTTCCAGGTCAAAAATCAGACTATGGTAAAGCTGCTCAGACAGGTGTTTCGTTCACTGGTGGTTACTTGGCCGGTATTCTTTGCGCAATTGTTTCACATCCTGCTGATGTTATGGTGAGTCCCTTTGTTCCCACCAATCTCTACATAACTCTAAACTCATACGCGATGTCCAGGTTTCAAAGTTAAATGCGACCAGACTTCCCGGTGAAGCATTTGGTGCTGCTACCGGACGTATCTACAAAGATATTGGATTCCGTGGTCTCTGGAATGGTCTTCCTGTTCGTATTGTCATGATTGGTACTCTGACTGGTTTACAATGGATGATCTATGTAAGTTTCCCCATATCAGTTTTGTCGTGGGTATCGTTAACGGTGTTATAGGATTACTTCAAGATTTTCATGGGACTGCCTACTACAGGTGGAGCCGCGCCTGTTGAAAAGTAGGTACGGAAGGTATTGGATAATCAGAGATAATCTAGAAGGCTAGAGATTAGGAGAACAGACTTGAAACAAAAATGTGTATCCGATCGTGTATAATTGTAATTCAATGAGCAACTATTTTCCCAAAGCCTCTCCGGCGAACTAAATCACAAGCAGTGAGTCCGTGTGTGATAGAAGCAATGAGGCGACAGATGCACATGCACTTCATGATGGGGACTCAATTACTTGACGATACTGACAATATCTTCTGTCATGGATGTCAAGGTCCTATTTTGATATACCCCTCAGATATTTTCTCCTTGAGAGTGTGATTGACTGCTCGAGCTGAACGGAGAGTTAAAATCAGATATAAAATTATTGTTAACCTTATATGATAGATATCGAGACTTGATCTACGAAAATCATAGATTTGGGGATTATTATGATACTGGGAGGACAAAGAGAAATATGTTTAATCCACGATATTTTAATCCAATAAATTAATGTTGATCAAAAAAGTGAAGACTATTTTGCATTCTGTTCACTATGCTCGGATGAGTCGGTTCGGCTGAAAATTCCGACGCACTTAGACTTCCCCACTCCGCGCATCGTGTCCCGCGTATCTACTACCATTTCGGCAGTCTGAATGATGTCGTAAGTTCATTACGCAGTGGCGCGATGTCATTTTTCGATTTAGCGTGTCTCTCAGCGGGGCTCACTTTTAGTGGCTAATGCTTGTCGGTAACCACGGAAAGCATGTTCTTACCTCTCCCAGTCAAGAACTCCTTTGTCGATCGTCCCCAGTGAGATATCACAACGTATAATCCACAGCAAATTAGCAAGAGATGGATCGTCACAATGAGGCGGTTTCTATAATTGCTTCCTCAGTCAAGCAATTTTATGAACGGAAAGAAGCATTCAGATTATACCATGGTTCAACCAACAGTACACGAGACTCCAATCGTCGTAGAGACCGTATGGTTGATACAAGCAAACTAGATCGGGTACTAAAGGTAGATACCGAGAAAGGAACGGTTCTTGTGGAACCAAATGTACCAATGGATAGCCTCGTCGCAGAAACTCTTCGTTATGGCCTGGTACCTCCAGTGGTTATGGAATTTCCAGGTATCACTACTGGAGGAGGCTTTGCTGGTACTTCTGGAGAGAGTAGCTCTTTCAAATATGGTTTCTTTGATCGCACTGTCAATTGGATTGAGATGGTTCTTGCAAATGGCGAGATTGTGTCGGCTTCCAAAGATGTGAATTCAGATCTCTTCTATGGTGCTGCATCGTCTTTTGGGACATTAGGAGTTACCACCTTGATTGAGCTACAGCTAATCGAAGCCAAAACCTATGTTGAGTTGACATATATAAATATACAAAGTATGGCTCAAGGAATACAAAAGATTGAGGAAATTTCCAAGGATCCAAATGTTGACTACCTCGATGGAATTTTGTTCAGTAAAGAGACTGGTGTCATCTGTTCTGGACGCTTGGTTGATGAGATTACCCCCAATACCCAGGTTCAGCGTTTCACGAGAAATTCAGATCCTTGGTTCTATCTCCATGCAAAGAAAGTGCATGATAAGAGCTCCGGATCAGTCACAGAAATGATACCCCTTGTTGATTACCTGTTTAGATATGACCGAGGCGGTTTTTGGGTTGCTAGATATGCCTATAGGTAATAGGAAATAAATTTCAAGGTTGGCCTAACACTAACTTCTGCTAGATACTTCATTACTCCGTTCAACCGTATCACGCGCCGTCTGCTCGACTACTTCATGCATACGCGAGTGATGTATCACGCATTACATCAAAGCGGGCTTTCAAAAAAGTATATAATTCAGGATGTGGCAATTCCGTACCCACGTAGCGCCGAGTTCGTCGAATATCTAGACAAAGATTTCGGCCAGTGGCCCATTTGGCTGTGTCCACTGCGTCAAAGCGGGATATCCGGCGACTCACCGCTTGGTCTTCTCGCCGAAAGGAAAGAGAATTCATCAACTCCTAACATGTTGCTCAACTTTGGGGTCTGGGGACCTGGACCAAATAATCGTGATGCCTTCATATCATGGAACCGAAAATTCGAGCATAAGGTTCGAGAATTGGGTGGTCAGAAGTGGCTATATGCTCATGCCTATTATACCGAGAAGGAATTCGATGAGATTTACAATCGCAAGGAGTATGATGCTCTTCGTGTCAAGTATCATGCCACACACCTTCCCAGTATCTACGATAAAGTCAAAGTTGATATAGATTTGGAGCGAGAGAAGCTGCTGGCATCTTGGAGTTTGTGGCTGCTGGCAATTTTCTGGAGTATCTGGCCATTGAGCGGGCTATATGGAGTATACAAGGCGTTCTGGGGTGGAGATTATCTTTTACCAAAAGTCCAGGCATCAAGCAAAACACAAAAGTCCAAAGAGTAGGTTGAAGTGACGTCTGGTAGTTCGACACTTCAATGTATTATGATCTTCAAAAGTTTCGTGCATGATAACTTATATTCATTTCATTTTTGTTATGAAAGTTTGATATGAAGCTTTTCTTTGAGGAGAAACACAAGGTGATCTTGAGTTTGAAGATTCATGAAAATCCCACAATTTTCAAACGCTCCATATATCAGTTCATTCTCTCAATGTATTTCCCTTCTTAAAACTTGGTACAAATCTCGACTCTTAACGGTTGATTCATGTAGATTTTGAAAGGACACTCCTTGTAAATTGCAATTTCTATTCATCTAGCGCTAGCCGATACATCTTCATTGAGGTCTGGGCTAATGAGATAATAACTTAAAATCTTTTGTTGGAGTCGTTGAGTTTATTTGAAGAATCGATTCGCGTAAACTTTTTTGAGGTTACTCTACTTCGAAATTAGATGAGAACAAGAAAAAGGCATGTTTGAATCTGCACACTGAGAGTGAATCTTATTTATGTATTATCGTATGAAGTAACGAGGCTACCACCACAGCCTTTGGTAATCAAAACTTTCCTATTCGCATCTAAAAAAACATATATTCTCCAAGCAACAACAAGAACAACAATAATAACACTCCTTCCCTTCGTTGCCTCGCTACTGGATTCGCTATACAATGCAAGCCACCGCCCAATCCGAAAGCTCTTCTGCGGAAAAGCGACCACTGTCAAAGAGGGGGAAGATTAATCTCGCAGTAAGTTGTACTTTCCCATCGTTTTCGCATGAGTATATCTACGCTTGGTTTTTTGCGAGGCTAGGGCTAATTTATCTCGCAGAAACAAATAAAGAAGAGTGAAGAGAGAATTGCCGCAAAGAAAAAAAATCAGAGAGAGAAGAGAAAGAAGCAGAAGCAGGAATTGGAGTCGGCGAAAGGAGAGAAGAAGGAGAGAGAAGTGTTGGCGGAGGGGATGGGAACGTTGGTGATGGAGGAGAAGAAAGTGAAGATGAGTGGAGCTATGTTCGAAGGATATCGGGAGAAGAGAGCGATCGATGATGGAGATGACGATCAGGATGGCGAAGAAGATGATGAAGCCAGAGATGAATTTGGAGATGGACATGAGATGAGTAAAGTAAATGTAGAGATATGCGAGAAATCACAATGAGGATATAATCAAATGGTGAAACGAATGTCTTTTTATGGTTTATTCGTGCACCAAACCCAATAAACGAATCCCCCAAGTCGTCCAAACCTTGAATGAACGAAAATAAACACCAGCAGCGCGCATGCAATGTATTCGTATTGACTAGCGACCAAGAAGCTCAAAATACATAAAACCCATACATCCCTACCATCTCAGACCATCTCCAGTTTCGCATAAATATCTCGCAGAAATACACAAGATTCGCCGATTCCGTATATTCCTCCCAACTGCCACGATTCATCGATCACAATCCAACTCCTGTCCCGAGACTGCAAGAGTGACATTGAGCGAGAAATCCGGTGCCTCCGCAGCGAGGACATTTGTCTGTTTCTTTTTTGTTGCGGGGAGTCGTGGGGTTTTTTTGATCTGGTCTGGCTGGCTCTTTCTTGGAAGCTGTTGGATTTGTTTTGGGTTCTGCCTTTGGTTGTTCAGCTTTGGCTGGTTGAGAATGAGGCTGGCCTTTGTTGGATACCTCCTGGGACTTCATCTTGTGTGTTGGTGAGTTTCGGTTGATAGGGATAGTGACAGTGGTAGATAGAGTGTGGCGCGGTGTGGTGCGTGTCTTGATACTCAATGGCAGTTATGTACACGCTGTGTGAACGCTTGGAAGCTGTGCAGTGGATATGCGGGTGTTTGTGATGTTGTAAGAGAGAAAGAGAAGATGACAAGAAGTTGGGCCATTTTGTAGCCTTTTCCAACAGTCATAAACACTGCTCTAGTAGTTGTTTGGCTGAACTGTTCTTTGGGTACTGTGTATACAGTACTGCACGGCAGTATGGAAAAAAATCTGGGATGATTCATTGAGTTGAGGTACATGATAGGAAAGCAGAAAAGTCAGCCGTAGGAGTGGCTTTTCTGACCCGAATAGAAGCTGGATATCAAAGTACGGTCAAAGCCGGCCTTCTTTGAGGATTTACGGCATCTTGCTACTGTGCTACCGTAGTTTATTTTTGAATGGATATTCAGTCATTATGAAAAGGTGCGTCTTGATGCAAATCTTTAACGTGCAAGTGATTCGATGCTGCATGTATATTGTCATCCTATCCCCTTCGCTTAAGAACCCATCTCCACAAATTATGAGATATCACTCCACTTCCAAGGTAAACACTCAACGGTATGAAAATCATAGCTTATTTACTGCGGTAGTCAGCGAGATATTTAAAGTCAAATTAGCTAGTTTCCAACCCCATCCTCATTGAGAGCTGGCAATATACTGAGACATTGAATTCAAAGCTCAAGAAAACTGCAGTTTGCACACGTAAATTCAGCAGAACAATGGGTTGTGATCTTGCACCAGAGGGAGGGACTTGAGATTAAAAGAGGATTTACTGATAATATGAATTGATAACCGTGGGGAGAGGTATATGCATCATCGAGTGTTTGAAGAGAATATGTTCCGAACGACCTGCCTGACCTCAAGATATTACTTAGACTGCGGAAATTCCTTAGCACAGCTGACAATCCTTCCCTTATGCCGTGATAAATGTGAATATTGGTTTCTTCTTTCGAATTACGAGCAAATTCCATTGAAGCGGAAGATCACTTTCTCTTTGATAATTGACTTCTTTGTATGGTGGCTGTCAAAATATCCCCACCCATATCGTCGCCATTCTGAACTCTCAGATAAGTAGTTGGTACAAAGGATATAGCTGATTCAATAACAAACATAACCTCGTGCCTCACGCGCGCCATCATTCCAACCTTTGGTGTTAGTGGCCCCTTACCATTTTCTGGTCTTAATACGTGGAGCTTCGCTAATGAGAAACTATAGTATATATTTTCAAACACTTCGTTAACTTCCATTAATTCAATGACAGAAAAGGAATTTGCCAGTACTGGTGGGCCGGTTGCCTTCGTCTTTCTTAAGGCGTTTGTTACCGAGTGGTGCCCTGTCAAACGAGTTAGATGGATAATTGTAACATTAGGGCTTCGGCCTGAAGTTTTGCATTTTTTGTCTCTCCTTCTATTGAGTTTTATCTCTTTTCGCAAGAGTCATTTTTTTTTTGGTTGTGATGGTCGTGGAGCTCGGTAAGCGACTTATATAAATTTGGCAATACCGTTGACTTAATTGGTGATGCGATCCACTATGAGCGAGGGAATATTCACTTCAGGCGGCCGCGCGACCCAAAACCCAGTTTGTAAACCACGTCAACATGAAGTGGAATCAGGATTGCGAGATAAAATGTTATCTCATTTTCACTCAACGCCACGCGCTATGATGCAAGTTTGCTATATAGGCAATTTAGACCGTTATGTGCAAGTTTCTAAAAGTAGAGTCTACCGCCCAAACTCTCAAGCCCCAAACTACCGTCACTTTTTCGCATTTCCACGACCAATTCCTTTGCCACTTCCTTTACTACTTCCTTCACCATTCTCAGCCTCATACTTTGGCTCGAACTATGACGGACAATGCATTAGTTTGAAATACATGGATTCAAGAAGGGGAACGTACAATGGATGTCTTGCGGAGCACTTTGGTAACACGATTTGTAACAGCTCTGTGATCGGAGTCGGCCTGAAGCTGGAGATTGACTGCCTTCTTCTCCTCGACTTGACAGCCCAACTCAGTCTGAGCGATGCGATTGGCCTCGTCCTCCTCAGCTCTCTCCTTGACTGCTCGCTTGGTATCTTCAATCTCTTCTAAACGCTCCCGCTCCTCGCTCTCTGGCTGAAAATATTTAGAGCTAGATGTGCAACAGAAGATCAGAAATGTACTTACGGACAATCTTGACGAATAATCGTCAACACCAAGAGGCATAGTCCTTTGCTGGCTGAGGCTCGGAAGAAGGAGAGCGATTCATCAGACGTGGAGAATACTTGACAGGGGCACGGCGAATGATGTTTCCGTATTCATCTTCATCGTCGGAAGGCATAAGACCGGACATGCTCAATGAAGGGGTAATGTTGGTTGGGATGAAGATTGATGAATGCGTGGTAAGATGCTAGTACTGCGATAGCGCACGATTGTGGAAGAGGGGTAGAATGATGGACAAAGGTGTTTTTTCACAAAAAGAAAGAGAAGCAAGAGGGACAGAGGCGTAGCTTTTATGCCGAGTTCCTCAGATCTGGAGGTTCACTGAAGTCTTGGAGTACAGTTCAATGTGGGATTCTAATCACCTGAACGGGTAGTCATTCACTCTTGTAATTCCATTATGCAGGAATAGATGGATTGTTTTGATAGGATCTCGGCTTATATCGGAGTCGGGCTGAGGGGTTCATCCAGATCTTTTCTTCATTTGCTGTGAGTTGCAGCACAGAATCGTTCGATTTGCGGCTCAAAGTGGGTAGTCAACATGTGGAGCATACTGAGAACTTGCTCATGGACGAGTAGATGATATACTCTAATTGGGTAGCAGCTGCAAATTGGGCGAATTTGAGAGATTCGTCTTAATTGCGTGCGTTTAAACTGAAATTTGAGGCTTGGTGTGAGTTATTACCACGTGGATTATGCCGAGTACTTGCTCATGTCCTAGTGTTGAAGGTGAACGATACTCACAAGGTGATTCCGATACGGCTTCTAACCGGCTTCAATTCAACATGACGGCAAATGCCGATCTAGCTTCATGTTTCCAGGCTGCAAGTAGATGAACCTCATATAAAGGACGTATAATATAACTAGGTAGCTAGGTAGGTACAGAGATTAATTTACGTGTAGTATCGTCTAACTACGATTCGAATGTTCCGATAAAGATTAGCACCGAATCCTCGTTCTCGTCTGATACTAGATTAGGTGTCTAGAGCTATCATCAACATCATACTAGCATCTGATGTCAAGTGAAACTTTCAAACCAAGAACTTATATCATGTGATCCTCTGGTATTGGTTCCTGCTATTGGCAATTCCCGAGGTCATTATTGTACTTTGGTAGGTTTCTTGTCGAAAAGAAGAATCAATATTCCTTATGCGGGGCTACCCGTGTAAGCGAGTTATATACGGACCGCAATTTTTACATCGTCAACCTTGTTGGCGATACGGCCTACTTATTTTTTGGAACAGAGATAGTCAATTCACACTCGATCGCGCGACTGAAATACATAAGCCTCAGATCCAGCAGCAATCATGAGTAGCGAAAGTGAAAATATATACATATTGTTTACTTGCAACTACATACACGCTGCCTTGCCTGTAGATGTGCGACAAATGAAACAATGCGATACTGGAAAACAAAGAGTGGCTTTCAATGGCACGAAGAGAAAGAAGCGATGAGGGGAGTGAGTAATACCTGAGAGAAGGAGGAACCGTGCAGTTTGACAAATGTTACAAGGTTCGTACGAGGAATCAAATTCATCGACCTCGAAAAGATTGCACGTTATATTATTGCTTATCATCCCGAAGCCGGGTGATTTACAGAAAAAGGCAGGCGCGACTTCATAGCCCATCTAAATTTTCTAGAGCAGTCGGTATGGAGGAGTTGGATGGTCATCGGCTCTTTCCTGGAAAGAATTCATATCAATGCGCTTGCTAGAGAAGTATATAAAGATTACTTTTCAACAAAAACCTATCCTCAACAACAACACTGCCATCTTTAATAAACATCTTCTTCAAACAAAATTATCTTCAGCAATCATTTTATTCATTAAAACATTGTATTTTTTACTATCACTTCCAACAAACACCACCCTCCGACATGAAGCTCATCATTGTCGGCTCGACAGACATACTTGGGCAGGAACTCGTCAAACAAGCTCTTGACAACATTGAAATCACATCTATCATAGCTATATCGGGTCATGATACAGATTCACCACAAGAACCTAGTGGCCATTCGAAATTGGTGACGTGCGCGCTTCCCGAATACAATGAGGGCTGGGAGAGACTGAATATCGATGCTTCTGCAACGGGTGCTTGTATTTGGTATAGACATATTTCCTAATCAAATTCTTTCACTGTTGAATAGCAGCTGGGACTAGTTGACACACCTTCACGGTTTATCTCAGATTCTGACTCAAAACTGCAGGAACATTAAACCAATCATGAAGGTACCGAGATATTTAAACGTATATCACGACCAAGTGAAATATCTCAACGAAACTCAATACGGCGTGGAATGGATGGTGAGACGGCGGGAAGCACATTTCGAAAACCCTGCGTCCCCTGGAGTAACACCCCTTCGGTTCATTTACGTGAGCGCTTTGCAAGCCATACACCAGAGGACGAATCAAGTTCCGACTTCACTTTCGATACAGGTGAGTCAATCTCTTATATGGAGTTTTGAGAATTAAATAATAGTCCTAACTATATATCTGCAGGGACTCGCAGAGGAAAGAGTTTTGAGTTCCGCGGAAGATCTCGGTGGACAAGTGCAGGCATGTATCGCAAAGCCGGGACGCATCGTACGACCTAGGACTGGCAATATCTTGAAAGAGATGGTGCATACTGCTGGATCATGGGTCCGAGATGGTCTCAAAGGCCGGCTGCCAAGAATTCAGGCAGACAAAGTTGCGGCTGCGCTTCTGGACAGAGCTATCACGGGTAATCACCCAGAAACTCTCCATAATAGGGATTTGATCAGAATTGGGGGAATGGCGCTCAAAGGCCCAAAGGGCTCGGTGACAGGTGGAAAGGTAGAACAGACGAGTGAACAAGCAGAAGAGACGGGTGAACAAGCAGAAGCGGCGGGTGAACAAGTAGAAGATGCGGGTGAACAAGTAGAAGATGCGGGTGAACAAGTAGAAGATGCGGGTGAACAAGAAGAAGAGACGGGTGAACAAGAAGAAGAGACGGGTAAACAGGCAGAACAGACGGTTCAACCCGTTTGAGAAGCCTACCTTCACACACCGTATTTATATATCGGTACAGCGTTATACAGTAGCACTTCAGTGCTATCCATAGCAATATAAATATATTATCAGCAGAGATGATTAGCTCTATGAAAGCCTAGTTCCATCCTCTATTCTTAAAGAAAGTGTCACCTTGACTTTCCAATTTTGGAGTAGATGAATGCTCGTGCATTGAAGCACCGCTTGAATGATTCTACTTCCTAATCAATGACCCCAACAACAAGTCAAAACTCCCTTGAATAACATGCTCAGATCGCAACAGGATTGACATTAAATTCGACCGCAGACATAGAAAGCATGCGAATGGTTCTCTTAATCCCAATCCCAATCTCAACAGTTTCACCCGATTGCATATGTATCTGAGCCCTCAGTACTTCAAGCTTCAATCACACTTCCGACACTGCTTAAGTTTAAACATAATTCCAACATAACACAACTGAAAAATCAAACAACTTATCGCACCCAACTATGGTCAACCTTTTCAATACTCACACTATGTTCCCATCTCACTGAATTTCAATATCCATAGATCTCACCCAAAGCCTCCCATTCCAGCATTTTCGACCAAGGTCTGAGACTTCAACTATATCAGGTACTCCCCCTCTCTCTGGATGCCCAACTTGAGTCATCATATTACGCTTTTATAGGTTTCTGGCTTTAAGCATAACTTCACTCACAGATAGACAACATAACTCTAGTACATCGCTTGATAATTCTCTGACTTGCATCTCTACAAAATAGAAAAATAAGTACCACCATTACCATCACCATCACCATCATCACACTTCCACTTCCACTCCCACTCCCAGCTATAAAAAACCACATATTTCCACAATCTCAAAAAGATACCAAATCCAACAACTTTACACCCACAAGCCCATCCCACAAACACCAATAACTAACTAATAACTTCAATCCAAACCAAATTCACAACCAAAACACAACACAACACAACAAAACCAAACTCCCACCACCCAATCATACCAGAATCACTTGATCTCCTACTCCATTTACTCACACCCATCTATCATTCTATTTACATACCTCACCTTCACTCTATACATCACTCTATACATCATCCCATACACCACCCTGTACATCATTCCATCCATCCACCCACAACCCAATAATCCAAAATCTTAAACGAGAACCCCCTGATTTTTTGATTCCTGCATTTCGTGCAACGATATATCTATTCTATTTATCTATCTATCTATCTCGTTTTAGAGAGTCGGATACGATAGATATTGGTGGCAAGTATGTATGTACCAGATTCCTCCTCCGATTCAAGGGGGAAAAAGTCTAGGGTTTCTTTGCCTTGGATATTAACAAACAAAAGAGAAAGAGGAAAAAAAATGAAAGAGATACTTATGTATACATTGAAGAATATGCAAGCCTCTCGAATTCGTCATCACCCCTCTACTCTAATTCACTTATCAACATGCTCCCACACACCACACAGCACCAACGAGCTCAACCAAACCACAACTGCAAAAACCATGGGTATCATATTTCCTATGAGCATCTACACAATCTAGACACATCAAGTTCCTCCACATCCCTCCCAACCTCACCACAACTTATAATTCGCACTGACAAGTTCCTCTCTTCACCATTTCCCGTCGCTGTATACTGAGGCTAAAACCATCTGTTTACCCATTTCCCCAGTTCCATGAGATATATATCTTCCGAGCCAAAAAAAAATGCACAAAGCTTAATACTTCTGTCGAATGATCTCTAGGAGGAAGTCTTCAAAAGAGAGCGTAATGTAACCTAGTGGAAATGATCAGATATTTATGGGTCAAGAGACAGATGCGAAATGACTTACCATCGCGGTCATCATCGTAACGTTTAAAGCTATTTCAAAACATCATGTTAGCAATCCACTTTCAGAATTCCCAGGAATTTCTTTTCGCAGACACAGGACCCGAATAACATCCTAGACCCATCTCAAAAGAGATTGAAACAGAAAATGGAAAAGAAGAAACCTACACATCAGTCATCCTCTTCAAACTAATACAACTCTGCACAAACATATCGAAACTAATCGCTCCCTCTGCCCTCTTATCATAAGCCTTAAACAGTGTCCCCACAAAACTATCACTCAATCTATAACCAAAAGCCACCAGCGCTTCCGAATATTCATCCAAACTAATATTCCCACTACGATCTTTATCGAAACGATCAAACAATCCACGCCACGCCGCGAGAAATCCCCATAATCCACAGAACTCTTCGAAATTGATCGTGTTGCTGCGATCGGTGTCGAACATGCGGATCATCATTTTTACAGTGTAAGGGTCGAAGGCGGTCCAATCGCCATTGACGAGAGCGGCGCGGAGCTCTTTTTCGGTGAGGGCGCCGGTTCCTAGAGGGCGGGGGTGATTAGTCCTTGGTTTTTGAATTTTAGATGGAGAGGTAGGATAGGGTAAAAACATACTATCTTTATCCACAGCCTGAAACAGCGGCCACAATTGGGGATCCGCACCGGGAGGAGCAGGCGAAGGAGGAGGTCTAGATTGTTGCGCCGGTCTTGTCTGAGGCGCAACCCTACCAGGTTGGAATTGACCTGGCGGAGGAGAAGCATAGCCGCGACCTGGAGGGGAAGCGCCATAGTTTCCTGGGGGATGCATTTGGGGAGAGAGTCGTCGACCATCGGATGGTCTGTGGCCGTTGGGATTTATGGTTTGGGGGAGGGATGGCGGGGGACGGTTTTCGTATTGTGCGCCGTGCATGGCTTGTTGCGCTTGGCTGTGAATGGGGGCTTGAATGGCGGGGGATTGTGCATGTTTCTATTGTGTGAGTCAGTGGTGGTTATGCGATGCGATTTGGGGAAAGGGACAAATGTACTCGTTCTGGCTCTGCGAATCTGTGGGGTTTGGGTCAGCCTGATTCTAATCTGGAGGGGAGAGAATGGACTTACGCAGGTAGCGAATCTGGGTTGAAAGCTCTGTTGTAAGCCATCTTAATTGATTGATTTAAGAGTATGGATTGTAAGAGATGTCTCGCGACAAAGTATTCTTTAGTTGTCGACTATTTAATGAAGTTGTGAGGTTTCGTGGTAAGTTAGATGTTAAGAAAGATTGAAGATTGAAGCTCGAGCGATTAGAGGGGCCCGTGTAAGTAAAAAGTTCCCTTGACGCGGCGAGTAGGCTGAGCGTTACGATGGTGGATCTAATTTCAGGTACCTAGTGATCACCGGAAGAGTTGCCGAATAAAAATTCCCTATGGAATTAATTTGATGTCAAAGTATCGTCAAAAGAGGAAGTATGGAGAGAACAACGAGTCCCGGATATATTTGGATAGAAAGGAGTCTTCTTATGTATTCGTGGGGCTGAGCTGAGAGGTCTTTGAGAATCCTTAGTGATTTACCCAGCTGTTCTAAAAGCCCAAGAATGACGAATGCCAATACTTGATGTGAGTATTTTGGAGCCCTGGTGAGCAATAGAAAAAAGACATTTCCACTGCAGGAGTGTATGGACTGACTGACACTGACACTGACAAGAGACATCATGCGCTCTCGGGTTCTCTTTGCTTTTCTTCTCTCCCATCTACATGAGTACCTGACATGTACCGATTTTTGCGCCCCGGTGAGCAATTCCTGCAAAGTAAACTTTGTTGCGATCAATACCTGACCTTACGTAAGCGTCACCTGCTATTTTACTCACGCTCTTGGATATAAACTTTTTGTAATTCGACGAGTTCATTTTTATACATCTGTATCAGAGTATAAGGTCGTCATCATTTATACCTATCATGGCTTGGTAATATGTATTCCACTTTCTCGTACTCGTACACGCAACACATATTATAAATCTCAATCAAAGCATCTGGAGAAAAAGTGGAAATACATGCAAACCTCCATCGGCATTACTCAACTGATCATTCCGTTCTACCCAAGTGCATCATCATCATCATCCCTTACTCTCAAAACGCATCTGAAACATAAAACTATTTTACCCCTCGCTCGTCGCTCATTGTCATTTCACCTCACACACAAATACCAATACCCCCTCCTCCCCTCTCCTGTCTCAACCATCTAGGGTAGTCCCCGAATACGAATCGATACGAACCAATACGCACTCAATACGCACAATACGCACCATGGGCGACACCTCTCTCCCTCCCTCCCCCTCCACCAATCCCGAGAACGAATTCTGGATATTCGGATACGGGTACCTATCCCCTTACACCTCTTATTCTCCATGACCTCCTCAAGTATATAACATCCCCAGATTCCAGCTAACCTACTTTCCCAACCACAGGAGTTTGATTTGGAAACCCCCTCCACATTTTGGTAATCTAGAAATCTCCTTCATTCCGTCCTTTGTCCTATACTGTACTCTTCAAGATACGTACCCAGGTATCTACTCACATGATATGATACCTAACCTCCCTCTAAAAAGGACAAAGTACCTACCTACCAGTACCTACCTACCTACTCCCAAAACCCACCCCTCCCCTTAAATAACAGAAACCTAACACTAAACCCCAAACCCCAATTCCCAAATCTTAGTTCCCTGACAAACCCCCCAAATAGATCGTCGTATCCCAGGCTATGTAACAGGATATGTGCGGAGATTTTGGCAGGTATGAGATTTTTGTACCTTTTTCTCCCTTTCTCGGATTGACGTACCTGGTTTGTAAGAGCGAAGTTTGAGGATTCTCATTCCTTCACAAAACTATTTCCTTTCTTGCTTTATGCATGAGGTCATGTAAATAAGGGAATTAGCTAACAGGTAAATATCCAGGCTAGGTAAATAAATCACCACTTTCCTCATTATCCCCTCCCCGTTCCCTCTCCTCCCCCTCCCCATCCGCCCTAACTCCCCCTCTAGCGAAGACCACCGCGGCACGCCCTCCTCCCCAGGCCGCGTCGTAACCCTAATCTCTCACTCCCACTGGCTCACCCTCCGCGATCCGCATTCTCTCACCCCATCCCCCTCCTCCTCCTCTCCCCCAAAAACCTGGGGCGTCGCCTACCACATCCCCTCATCCCACGTCGCCCAAGTCCGCGAATATCTCGACATCCGAGAAATAAATGGTTACACCATCCACTACACCGAATTTTATCCCGCCGCCTCCTCCAACGAAACCCACCAACAACCGATTCAAACCCTCCTCTACATAGGCACCCCCTCCAATCCTCAATTCACCGGCCCTCAAGATCCGCAGGAACTGGCTGAACATATCTTCCGAAGCGAAGGCCCGAGTGGTTTGAATCGTGATTATCTTCTGAGTTTGGATGTTGCTTGTATGTTGCTTTGATTTCCATTTTGGTTTTGCTTTCTGTATAGTTTCAATGCTAGTCACTATTATATATATCTGCATTAGAGACGAATTACCATGCTAATAAATCTAGTGGATGAACTGAGTCCTGAGAGTGGTGATGATCATATCAAGGACCTGGCGAATAGGGTTCGGAAGATAGCTGAGAGGAAAGGAGGTGTAGAAGCAGAAGCAAGTCACACAGAGGATATAGATCATGAGCTCAAGAAGGTTACAAGCACAGATGAGCAGGAGGAGACTGAAAAGTAACGCGTGAAGGAGCCATTCATTCATTCATTCCCTTTTTGGGGTATTATTTGCCATAGAAACCATAAAGACCTGCAGAGATATGCAGTCTTTCATAAAGAGAGCTTGATCAAGATGATCGTGACTCGAAAATACAGGCAGACTTGAAAAACATTTGTCAGATGTTAGAAAGAAAAAGTGATCGAGCAAGGTAAGATAACCCCCTCCAAACTCCATGCAAGCATCAGTATTGCTCGCCAGACCAGAACCGCTGCCAGAAACCACAAGGTAAATCTTAAGCTGCTATCGAAAAAGATGACAACATCATAAAATCCACCCCACGAAAAACCTTCGCTGAGAACCCCAGGCTGACTTTTCTTTTTCTCGGAGAATGAGAGACCTTGAAGAAGAGAAGAATGCCGCCCAGTCGAAAACAATTTATTGGTTTCCTCCCCAGTTTCCGGCGTTTCCACCACTTTGGTTACGGTCGTATCCTCCTCCACCGGAGTATCCACCGCCACCACCACCAGAGTAGCCTATAGACAGTTAGTATACTTGTTAATTTAAAGAATATCCACGGTGCAACTTACCACCACCACCACCACCATTGTAGCCTTTATCATCTCAATTGTTAGTAAATGCTATTCAAAATGTTCACGACAGACTGGTCGAGCAGGATCGCTTACCTCCGCCACCAGAGTATCCACCACCTATATCACAAACCGTCAGTAAAGCTCGTGCGACCATTGAACGAGAAATCATCAAAGGGAATCTTACCTCCACTGTATCCACCACCTCCAGAGTAACCACCACCGGAGTTGTTGTTGTCATATCCACGACCACCTTGGTATCCTCCACCACCACCTCCATATCCACCGCCGCCACGGCCTCCACCATATCCTCCACCACCTCGGCCACCACCGAATCCGCCACCGCCACCACCTGAGCGGTCATTGCCGGCGCGCTCGGAGGCTTTGTCGACACGAATGGTACGGCCATCGAATCTATATGTATATTAGCTTGTGTCTAGGAATTTGAATATGGGAACAAAACATACTCAACACTGTTCATCTCTTGGATAGCCTTCTCAGCATCGGCCTCAGGGGACGAGTCAGGGTTGCCTTGTCCATAACGAACGAAGCCGAAGCCACGGCTACGACCAGTGTCGCGGTCCTTGACAACAACCTGTATTAATCATATCAGTTTCTGATCCTGCAGTTGAGCTTATCGATGAGGGGAGCGTAGAACATACTGCTTCTTCAACAGTTCCAAACTCAGAGAACTTCTCACGGAGAGCGTTCTCATCTGTGTGCCAAGCAAGGCCACTAATTGAGAATGTTAGTCAATCTGACAAGTGATGGTTTGGATGGAATGTTTGGACTTACCCAATGAATAATTTAGACATGATAGATAATTCTCGAAAACCTGGCTGAAAGTCTCAATGTCCGCACGCATTCACACAAAAAGAATCGCGCCATTTCAGGCGGAAGTTGTGTATACGAGAGACGGACGGAACACACAAGGAAAGATACATCGAGGCAAAAACAGGAATCCGCAAAGCGGAGAATATGGAATGGAAGGGTGATATGGAATGAATTTGGAATCAAAATCGCAAAAGACAGTTAAGTCAGCTAGCACAAGCAGGAGAATCGGACGAACTTCTTGAAGGATTAGAGTGTCGAGTTGGAGTGAAATATCGAGATTTCTTTGTTTGTTGGTTGGTGAAGGGTGTCGGGTCTGAGACGTAAATAACAGATCGTTGGAAAGGTATTATTCAATCGGACGACTGAAATGACAGTGCGATCTGATAAAATGTAAGAGTGCGAAGGTAAATCGCGAAAGAAGGTATTTTGCGTCGAGGTTGTAACTTGTAAGGAAGAGGAAGGAAGTTGTGGTGGAAGAAAGGGTGGAAGATAATTGAGGTAGGTAGGGAAGATTTCTGATCTATTAAGCGCAAAGCGGGGGAATTGAAAGAGACTGCATATGATTATTATTGCCCCTCCCATAAGATTCACTAGCGTCCAGGAAGAAGAAGATGAAGGGCGATACCATGAGCGAGCTTGACCTTTGATTCGATCCCTTGAATTCACCACACCTTGACGGGGGCTCACGGTCCACCCCCGATTGAGTTAGATCATCTCTGTTTTACCAAGTTCCAGTTCTCAACAACAAAAACAAGCTCAAGCTTTATCCCACATTATCAACCGCTTTGGATTTTCAATGAATGCTTCACTCATTTGTTGTCTATGCTAGATCTTCAACCAATTGAAAATCCACGTTCAACAAGAAATAGGCCGATATTCGATTTGGAATCGAAAAAGGATGTTGAATCGTCTTTACATCTATTTATTCACTTCTCACTTCGGGCCACCAGTACAGATGTCTAGGTAGGTAGCTGTATGATTCTGGTGTGACAGTCTTTTTGTCAAGTTATTCCGCCATGCACACATTGGCTGAAGAGGCCCAAGACGAAAGTTTCCTTGATGCTCAGTGGACGGCTGGAAAAGCGCATGGCTGACTTGCTAGAAACCTTGCTTTGACTTACACTTCTTGTTGGTTGGATCCAAGCAGTCCGTCTTTTGGCTGTGGTCTATCCTTGGCTTGGCTATCTAATTGATATAAGAGATCTTCCTCCGGCTTTTACATTTGTTGCCCAACATTGATCTTGAGGAATGTATCAGAATTGCCTGGACCGGATAATGAATCAGATCGTAGGTACCTAGGTAGGTATAGGAATCTCCGAATTTCGGCATTGATATGTCGCAATCCACCCACCTAGATATGTACAGTGCCATGCCTCAGAGTCGGTGTTCTCATGCGATCAATCCATAGAAAGAGGACAAATCATAGCTAGGTCGATCCTTCGACCCTTCTATAGCGAAAGGCCAGATGTTCTGGTGGAATTCTTGTGCTCTTCTCGACGACCTTGGTCAATACCCACCTCTGAATAGCCCATCCAATAGCTCTTCCAAGCTTTCCAACTTCCCATCCGATGAATGATACGATAGCTCGTAAGCTTTATTTAGTATGAATTCCAACATCCTATCATATGCATGATCCCCAAAGACCCAACCTGCAGACATGCAGATGCTACCGTATGGGTAGTAAGATGATATGAAGCTACGAAGCTATCCAGTTGCATAGCTGCAGAGTATACAACACGACGGGACGAGACTATGAATTCGGTGTGAATATCACAAGGAGCTTGGGTCCAGGATTGCTATCGATTGCTGTCGATTGCTGTCGATTGCTATCCATTGCTATCGATTGAGGTGGGGTAAAACTTGATTCAAGGGTCTTCGGTGGAGCTCTCACTCTAAAATAGTCCAAGTGCCGTGCACTGTGCACAACTACAAACTCCGACCAACGGTTCTTGTCAGTGGCCACATTTTTAACTTGCAGCTCTGAGATGGTGTGGTGCATTCACGGTGGAACGAGGAAAGACTCCATCGAGGATTATCTAGTACCGGTTGGCTCGGAGTCGTAGGTAGCTGAAGATGAGGAGGTAGATGAGGATGCGGTTGAGGATCGATACCCAAAGAACCATCAGAACCATCAAAAGAGTTACTAGCATTGCATGAATCACGAATATACCGTCCCACTGCCCCATCACCAAAGAATGATTGATATGGGACAGAGCAATGGAACACGAACTTATTTCCTTTTTTATTATTCAATCAACCGAGTTTTCCCTTTCAATAATACAACATCAACGAAACCCGTTCAATTCATTCGCACATATTCGTTGACGCATCCATTCACACATCCATCCATTGGCAGTACATGCATGGGTTTAGAGCTTCCCAATTCAATCTTTCATTGCATCCTTCGCATCCTTCTCATCCTCTTCATATTCAATTCGCAAAAAGCATCCATTTATCCCACAATCATGCTGTTAATGTTAAATGTCTCCACCATCTTCGATCTCCCGCATACAGAGTCCAGACAACCCTTGGAACTTACATGCATCAAATTCAACCCACGTGCACACAAAGCTATACTCAAATAACATGTTCATTCGGCAAGATGCATAGCGATCTAGGATTCTCTACCAAAAGGGACGCTTCTCCTTCCGAAAAATGTTCACATTAGAATCCGACAAATCTAGAACTCAATGCGACGCTTTGAATGAAGTATAATGCGCTCGTAAGCCGATGTATGTCATGAAAATAAACAACTTGTACTTCGTCTAAAGTTAAAGTTTACGGGTGGTCAAGGCCGGACGGATGGGGACATGATGAATCTGGATAATGCCTTTTCATTCGTATAATTTGATGCGGGGAGTCGTGGCAGTGGTCGTACGAAAATGCTAGATAATCAGATTTTTATATCGTTGATGAAGGTAGACATACAGCGGATATTGGTGTAACAAATCCTACCCGTGGAAGCCTCGAAGAGTTGTGATAGGTATGATGATTATCGTGATAACTCACATCTCACAACAGCACTCGCATTTTCTTCCAATCAGGTGATGGGTAGACGACAGTGAGATTAAGATCAACATTATCGCAATCTCTTCTTTTACAGCTGATCAAAAAGTTGGACGGAAAAGTTGTTGCAATTTGATGTTTGCACATGTGCAGGATAGGGCTGCAATTACCCACACCGCTATTTATCCTTCCTCGCTGCTGATACATTTTGAAGGTATGCGGCTCTTGTCAACTTCTATAGAGTCTTAGGAATAGCTTGGCTCTTTGATGTGATTTGACAAAATCAAAGGCTGCTGGTAGGGATTAGGAGACAGCTTCAATCAACGTCTTCAACAGTAGCGAAACATGATAACGATGATGATGTGGTGATGAGTCTGGAAATTCTTTGATATGCTTTCCCTCAAGGAACGCAATGTCAAGGGGCTGTTTATGGAGATGGAAGTGTATTTACGACAGGTTGAGCGATTTGTCTACTTTGACAGGCAATGTTCCCTAGCGTTTTCTTCTAATGTGAGTGTACGTACCTAGGTGCAAATTTGGTAGGTTCGTACCTTCCACTTCTTCACTTGTCAACAATACCTTCCCTTTCCCAAG